TTAGGATCTATTTTATATTTGAAACTTGATCTTTAGTCTTTAATATTAGTAGATTTTTCTATTGCTTATTTTATTATTATTTCAAAACTAAAAATAACAAATCCAAAATTACTCAGTATGATAAAACAGTTCTTGTTTTCACTACTCACTATCCTTTTTTTTTTTAAATGTTGGATATGCCATTCAATATAGCTAGTACATGGCCTTGTGCAAATACAGGTTTGACATGTAAAGAAGCCTTATCAAGTATACTAACCCTTCACTTTTCTGTTTGCTACTTTTAATTTGATCACACGTGCAAGATAATATAACGTATGGGTGGTGCAGAAGAGTTATACAAGAATTACCTGAGCAACAACTTCAGATGTTGAAAGAACAAACATGAATAGAGGTCTTAATTCTAGATATTACACAATAATCTTTCTGCTAGGCACTGTATTTTCTTTCACTGATCAGCTTAGGTCATATACCTTTTATTCCTAAACCACTACATTTTAGTTTTAATTATTTCTCATTTTCACCAACAAATATTTATTTGCCTGTGACCTTGAAGTGTTATCAGGAGAAAATCTGGGATGGCAATTGCATAAGACATCCCAGACCTTACTAACAAAAATTATACTTTTCTCTCATATTGATAATTCAAGTTTTTTCTCTGCCAACTGCCAAGTAAAGGTTTACTAGACAATCCATCCAACTGTCTGTTTTGCTAGTGCCTGTGTAGCTTGAATATATCACACTAATAGATTTCCTTTCACTCCATCTTAGCAAATGACCACTGCTATTTGCAAATATTTCTCAGTGACATCACAATCTGACTCTGCAAACACTGCATACTAACTAAAAAAGATATTTCTACAACATGTTTACGGAAAACTGCACCCTTTTAAATACACAATATCACAGTATTTACTATGTATTTAGAAAACTGTATTTTTCCAGATAATATAGGATGACATATCTGGTGGAAATATGTAACCAAAATAATATATTTTGACTGTACAGAACTGGGGGGG